TCACACAGAAAGCAAGCATACAATTTGATGAAAATCTTTGGAACAAGATTAAATTATCCAGGTAGAGGACTTGGGAATCTCGTGTGTCTCGTCGGGGAACTGCTGATAGCACAATGGAGGAGAGAGAGGAATGAAATATGTGTAAAGGAGCAATGTCAGTTGATTCTGGATGTGTTAGTCTCCTCAAGGCCCATTCGAATGCAGATAAGCATTACATTCGTATTGCACATTCCCCTCCATACATCACTTTTAGAATCAAAGACATTATATTAGCCTTGTATAATGGAAACGGACTAATGCTGAGTAAGGCAAAGTCCTTCTTCGGAGTCCATTAGAAAAATTTTTGGTGTCACAGAACTGGCAGTCAGTACATTCTTGCAAGGGACCATTTGTAATTGACTTCTACAAATTAAAGTTCTTTCACACAGAACGGCCATTAAATAAGTCCAGAGGAAAGATACAGCGTGACCTGAAGGTTGGTGTTGAATGTAAAAATGCTGCCTGTCATTTTATAACAATAGCAAGTAAAGAGAAAATTCTACTCCCAAGTAGTCTTCTACCAAACCCTTTAGACATTCAGGTTATTTACTAGTTTATTTTATTTTTTTTAAATGTCTATTAATGCATTTGTAGGTTGATTTATTTGTATAAACAACTTTCATACAGTGGTCGTAACTCAATGTGCTGGGTGCAACGTGGAATAATAAAAGAAAATAAACAATTAAACTGCAAACGGTAATAAAGTGTCAGTAATAATAAGATACAGGCAATAAGAAAATATATTGAACATTAAAAATACATTAAAAGGCAACTATAAATGAAGTTAATTGATGGCCAGTCAGTATAGTTTTCCTTGAGTGGTCTTTATGCTTGAGCATAGATTGCTGCCTCCCCAGTATTTTATGGATGCTGTGGGGTGAGATCAGCAGCTATGGGAGGATTTGCTTTTGCATAATGTAGAGCAGAAAATAATTATAACAACCACAGTTTGAGACCAGGGTGTACAGATAATGTAGATGTAAAATCAGGACCAGGCAATTAAATCTGTCATCATGAATTACAGCAAGTTACAAAAGATATTTTGATAAAAGTACATTTTAAGGAGGAATTTACTGCCTCCCCAAGATCATGGTGCCGCACAACTGAGCCTCCTATGGTTCCATCATGTATGATATTATAATAAGCTGTAAAGAACACAACACAGCTGACAGAGAGTCTAATGGTTTCCTGTTTGTAACTGTTCTTAGACAACTGACCGTATAATTTTGGCCATTTTTTAAAATTTTGGCAGATTATCTGAATAAAATAAAAAGTGGTTGAGAGAGGTTTTTATATGTACTTTTAAGGTTTTGGCTGGACACAGCAAAAGAAGCAAATATATGATAAAGTTGGGGTAAAACTATTAGGCCGGGTACACACCGGCCGTCAAAGCGCCGGGAGGCAAAGCGCTTACGAAATTCGGCCGCTGCTCGCTGCTCCTCAGTTCAGACCAGACGCTTGTTTCTCCGCTCCGGTCGAAGCGCGCCTCGTAGTTTTTCTTTTAACCACTTGGTGTCCTCCATTTCCTCTCTGCCTTTTCTCTGCTCTTTTCCTCTACACCCCATCTCCCTTGGTGTGTGTGTGTGTGTGTGTGTGTGTGTGTGTGTGTGTGTGTGTGTGTGTGTGTGTGTGTGTGTGTGTGTGAACCTATGGTGTGAACCAGTTGCTAATAGCTGGCCTACGACTTTCTGCCTCTCTGTCCTGTTTGCTCCGGTTGAAAGACACCCAAAACCACACCCCCTTCACGTGGTCACACACTCAAACACACACACACACACAAGTTCGCTGTGTGTGTGTGTGTGTGTGTGTGTGGTTTTTATGCAGTGTCTGTTTACGAACACATTTGACTGTTGCGGAATTGTATTTTGAAATGCTTTATTTGTTAAATTTACCGGCCTGCCTCGTGTGTCTAGGTTTGACTTCCTGCCAGAATTGACGCGATTCACCTGCGGCTCGCGAAAAAAATAGAGCAGATGCCAAAACGATCGCTGTACGGCGCGGGCTGGAGCGCCAGCGCGGCACTTCGGCGGCCCATGTGGTCTATATACAGTAATAGGATAACAAGGGCGCCGAATGAAGGCGGTCCCCGTTTCGCGGCGCTTCGGCGGCCGGTGTGTCCCCGGCGTCAGTCTGTTTAAGGGCTTGTGTTATTATTGTTTTTGGTACATTTTACCAAGGATGTATAATTTGAAAGATCAGTTGTGTTGGTTGCATGGTAATCCTACAATGTGAAACAGTACTTAGACTTTTCATTTATGGAATGTATTGAAATAATAAAAATAATTAATTAAAAAAAGTTCTCCTAGAAATAAACAATTCTATGTGGAATCTTTTTAGCTCTCCATACTGCACCCCCTTGACTCTACAATATAAAAGAGTAGTCAAACTGAAACTGCTAGAGTTTTATGTGTTCATCATATGTTTTCAGCTGGCGCACACATTTCTATTTCACACTTTATAGGAAAATGTATTTATTTGTTCAGTCATTTACTTTGTCAATAAAGGTTTCTAATTTAGTTTTTAAAGACAACCAGAGTTTACTCACTAATTAAAATAAAACTTTAATATTAGGAGCATTATTTAAATATGTTTTTGCTGACATTGTCATTTAATTAGTCAGACATAGACATGGAAGAAAATCAAGTTGCTTGACAGCAACTTTACACCAAACGGTTATTTTTGTTTGACTGTTAAGAAGAGGTTGAGGAGATGGTCCAGAACTGTTTCCTGGGCGTTACCATCAACACATGCGATTGACAGGTCATTAAGCTAATTAGCTGCAGCTGCAAAACCCCTTGTGTAGTTGTGTTCAACATTTTAGGACCGTTATTCAGAAGACAAGAGCAGCATTTTGAATTATAATACATTTCTATCTGACACAAGTTGCCACGGCTTCTAATGAAGTAGGTTATTCCCAAATTGGTTGTGAATTTGCAAATATTAAAATATGTTTTGTTTAGGTTTTTTTTAGCTAACTTCTTGCTAGCTTTCCCTTGTTACACTTAATGTGTTGTTGTTTACAAGAAAACAAAGTCAGTTGAATCTGTGTGTTTGCTGAGTTCAGTTTATTTTAAAATAAATGTATTTGTCTTTGGGTAGCAATAAAAATACTGCACTTAGTTCACAGCTCTCATAGCAAAAATGTACTGTTTATTAATGTGGAATGCTGCTTTGGCTCTTCCATTTCAGCCCATCTGTGTGTATTTGTGTTGTATCCTCAACGACATACTTAATGTTATTCTGTTGTAAGTTGAGGCTTTTCATTAGTTTTTATGTTTCCATGCCTGTCTACGCTCCAGCCCACTGCGTAGTGCAGGCGAGATCTGATTAAAACGCTTAATCTTCAATGCGCGGCTCCTTTACAAATGGAAGCTAAGTGTATTTAAAGCCCCGTCTGGATCCTAATTATTGAAATTGTTTAGGGAATTTATTTTCGTGCACCAGCCAGCATCTCTAAAAATTACCTTCACTCTTATCTGACCTGGTGCCTTGTAATTGCCTGCATTTCTAATCATTTGTCATCATGATCATCATTAAGTCTTGGCTGTCATATTAGTAAACTGCAGTTAATTAATTACAATCTAATTTATCAATTTTAATTGAAAGAAGAGCCAGGCATGCATAAAAATAAACAGTGAAAGGTGCAACATGTGTCTAAAAGTCTAATATTTTATCCCAAAGGTAAAACTTCACAAGTAACCAACTGTCGCAGTTTCCCACTGTTACTTTCTTGGCACACTGCTGTCTTAATCTGTCTCAGTGTGGTTTTGTATTCCCTCTTGACGATGTTGTATAACCCCATTAGAGCCTTTGTTGATTCTTTGACTTCTTAATTCACAGTTTCGCACCCTTTACCCCGTTTACAGCCTCGTATCCTCTATAACCCACTATACCTGTGAAGCACCACAGAGCCCTGGGAACCTCTTATCGATATCCATGTTCCCACTGGTCTTAGTAATGAAGGCGGGAACTTGGGGCTAGTTGAAATGGAACGTCTCCCCATGGGTAGGACTTGAGTTTTAATTAGCAAAGTTAAGGGGGCAGAGGGGGATCAGCAGTGTGAGAGACAAAGCTCCAAAAGAAGTGTCTCCTGAGCCTAATGCGTTTGCTGGATTTGATGGATATGGACCCAAAGATATATCTGAGGACAGCTGGCAAAATCAAGACACATCTTCTTGCTCTTTTTATTAGAAACGAAACCTTATCAAACCACAGGGAATCTCTCAAGGCGAAGGCTTTTGTGTTGGCTTTCTTATTTCCTTCGAGATTACTGAACTTGTTCTTCTTCTGCAGTAAATCTACCTTAATTTTGGATGATTAGCCACTTTTGGACCAACACAGCTAGTGCTGTCAACTCAATAACCAGTTTAAACTTGAATGCATTACATTTTGACCAACTGAAATGTTGCAGCACTCATTAATGCAGTTATATAAGAGCTGATTTTAGCTTGTGGCTAATGTAGCTTGATTTTAATGATTTACTACCCACTAGTGGGTGCCCTGTTTCACCTGTATGTTGCTGAGCAAAGACAAGTTGTCCTCCCCGCCTAACCTAATGGCAGCTCCTCCCCGTTTAATGCCTACTTGCATACATAAGTTCGCACAGAACTTTGAAATTAAAGTTTGCCTCAAGTCAAACAAATTGTGCAGTGACGGATCAATTCAGTGCAATTGGCAACCAGAAACTGTTTGTTAAAAATAATAAAAGCTTTTATAATTGTGTAGAATGTGTGAGTAAAAAGTGATGGGCCAATTTTCTAAAACTGGAAGATGGATGTGTATTCTTTTCTGTGCCTTTTGAAAATTGACCAAATTAGTCTTTTGTCTTAACCTTTAGAAAGCTCTAGCATGTGCATGCGCTTAAAATTCCCTATACCAATCACTATGTGAGAAAGCTCAGTATTAAATATGGCACCTCATAATGTGGTTTTTTTTATTCTTCCAATCTCTTTTCTCGGTAGGTTTCTGGGTATAAATCTGCAGGGGCTTCATCATGGTGCCGGAGAAGAATGATGGGATAAACAACGACATGAGCCTTCCACCAAATCAGCAGAACAGACCCGCTGTAAGTCTGCCCGTCTCCCACTGTCCTCTTCCTCTTACCCCGTGTGCGCTAATCTCAACTGCTTTTGTTCTTCACAATCACTAAAGAACACGCATGGCCCCCTGTGCTTAATTCTGTTTAATGTTTACCAAATCACAGAATGTGATGCATCAGTGAGTCATGCCAGCGCATCAAGAAATGAACACACATTTCAAAGGATTACTGAATACCGCATGAATACTAAAACTTTGCCTACACACTTTATTGAATCATTCACCATTTCATCTCCTCCCTCCTGTCCTTAAACTTCCTCTGAGCTAGTTTCATCATTAAAATTGTTGACATTTAAATTGTGATTTTGTATTAAACAGTTTTTTTTATGCTTTTAATTTTTATTTTAAGCTGTCTTCATCAGTCAGAGACTTTGATTTTAGATTAATTAGCTCATCTCATCTAAATTAGGTAATCACTAACCAACCACACACAATGATATAATACTGGTTCCCATAGGGATTCAGTATTGATGCCTACTGCTATGCTAGTTATGGCACGTTAATATCCATTTAGATTCCATGCTGTAGTTCTTTTTTACAACACAGAGCAGTTTTGTTTACCTGTTTTCCTGCTACGTTTGGATCTTCCCACTCTGTGTTTAAAAAAAGAACTACAGCATGGAATTAGAGATACGACACAGCAAGAACACACCTAAAAATATCCATTTAGAGTATAAACCATGAACGCAATTATCATTTATTACAATTAAACTATTAACAAAAGCAAAGTCAATCAAGCATTTGCTATTTTAATTAGAGATGTTTGACATCAGTTTACCATTATCGGCTGGTATTGGGATCAAAATTTAGTATCGTATCAGTTTTCAGTCTTTTAGTGACACGACTTTTACATACCATACACACATTCAGCTACTTTTCCCCTTCTCAAAATGTCGAAATATGACAGATCTTAGTTTTTGAGACACGTTAATTATTTGGCACAATTTGTGAAGTAGACATTTGCCCTGTGTAGTGAACGTACGCTGTCCTCACATAGTTATGTGAAGCTGGACAGCTAGCAAACAACAAAAACAAAAACAAGACACTTCACCCAAGTCTTGCTTTCTTATCTGAAGGTCTTTATAAATGTTTTGTCACTGTAACTACAATATACAGAAAAAGAAAAAATACATACACACTGACTAATACACACATCTTAGCGTCATGCTTTGGGAGAATGAGATTCAGCTGAGAAAAAATAAAAAAGGTGTTTTTCCTGTTACCAACTTAAATTGAAGAAGTTGTCATTTTGCACAGAAAATGTTAAAATTTAAGCATGCATGTAGGGTTGTCACAGTGTGCAAATGTAACCTCACGGTTATTGTGACCAAAATTATCACGGTTTTCGATATTATCGCGGTATTTTTTTAAACTTGTTACATTTTCAACTGCATAAACCCTGTATATCAGAAAAATATTGTCCTCAGTTTGTCTCTAAATTTTGCCTAAAATGTGTTATTTTGTAATTATGTTGTTTATTTGTTTACATCTTTCCCTTTTAGTCTTTAAAACACCAATATTTGCCCATAACTTCTTATTTTGTCTGTTTGATGTCATCATTTTAAAAATATTAGATCAGATGATGCTCAGTACTCAAGTAACCTTCTAATCAGATACTTTTTTACCCTTACCTGAATAATAAACCCTATATCAGGAAAGTATTGTCCTCGGTTTGTGTCCTTCCAGTGAGCTTTGCAGATGTGGGAAAATGTCATCAGGCAGTAATCGTTGTTAAATTCATAATTATTCTCGGAGAGAGACCAACTCTTATCTGCCCCTGGGAGCCCCGTAATGCATAGCGTCATTTCAACATGGGGGTGTCCGCGACACGGTTTATATGCAGGTAGCGGCGCTGTGGCTGCTTTATATAGCGACTCGTTGCATTCTCCCTCAACCCAAATCCTCGGATCACGCATTTGAGCTAAAACGCTAACGTTAGCTTGCCTTCCGTTGACTGTAGAGTTGTGGGTGATGGTCACACAGATGTGTCATGAGATTTGAAGCGTTGCTGCCTTTCACAGACACTTTTTCTGCACGTGCTGCAAACAGGATAGCCGTCTTCTATCAACTGTCCCTCGGCATTCTTCAATTATCCAAAAAATGCCCATACTTCTGACTTTGTCTTCTTTGAGGGATAATAAATGTCCTGAGCGCTGCCGTCTCCTCCTCTGGCCATTATTTCAGCTTTAGCTTCAAGAAAGTTTTGGTTGTAAACAACAAAGTGCGCATGTGCCGCCGGCATCTTCAGCAGATGATACGGTGGCTGGTAAGGGTCACCGCACCTACACCGCAGCCACGGTAATCCACCGAGATAATATTGTTTTTAAAGCAAGACGGTTATTATTATTGTCCACTTTTTTACCGGGGTTTACCGCTACACCGGTTACCGTGACAACCCTACATGCATGATAGTAGATGTCGGTAACCCAGAGAGGACAAAGCAGATATAGGTATTGGAAATTAAGAGTCAGACAATATCGGTATATTGGTAAAAACAAAAAAGAAGCCAATATCAAGCTTCTTCTTTTTAATAAGAGAATGCTTTGTTCTTGTTTCATAAGGAGTCTAAAGAGGCATGAAAAAGCGCTCTACTTAGACCATTCCTGTTTTGTGCTGCATTGTGGGAAACGTATCTATCCCCGTCTATCTTTTTACTTGAGCTAATACTCATAATGTTCCCCAAGAATGAACCAGATCATCCACCCATCATTTTAGGTATGCTTTGTTAAAGTTGACTGATGAGGGTGATGCACACCAGAAATGGCAGATAACATCCACCTAACCTTTCTGGTGCAATAAAATGTGTTTTCTTTTTTGCTGTTTTACGAGATGGGTTATGTGCACTGGAGAGTCACTCTAAATATCAAGTGGTTGCTGTTAAAGTCTGCTGAATGTGACAGAACTGTGTTTTTATACCTCTCAGCTATCGTGGGAATCAAAGATCCTGAAAACGGTGCCTTTGCCTTCCTTCCTGGGAAATTTGAGACCAGTTATGGGCCATTGCTGCAACCAGTGCACCCCAGACTGTTTGGTAAGTGAGCAGCGCAGAGGTAGATTAAAATTAGAGAAAGCAGTAGGAAGGGAAAACAGGGCTGAATGTACATAATACAAAATGCAAACACCTTTAATACTTTTTACTGTAAAACACTTTGAATTTGAAGGAAGTTGTGTAGAAGAGAATCAAAGGAAATGAAAAGGAAGTTAAATGTTTTTGTTGCATTATAATCCATACATTAATTGTCCTGCTTGTATATTTATAAAATAAGTCTTCAAAAGTTATGATTTCTTCTGTTTAAGTAGGCTGATAAAGCCTCAACTTCTAACAATAAAAACATTTTCATTTGAGCCACACCTTCTTCAGTATAATAGAAAAATTACATTTGTTAGTGGTTTTCCCAATTCATCAAGACAATTTGACTCAACTGCTTGGTAACAAGTGGTGGTTTTAGACCTAAATGACTGAGTTAATATAACACAAAGTCCTAATTAAAAACAAAAAAATACGTGTTTCATTGCTATTCAAATTTCTTTTGACATTTAGATGTTTTAAGACAATTTGATGTTTGTTTGTTTTTTTGTCTCTGATTAGAGCAAGAAGGTTGGACCAAACTTCTTTAGTGGCTATCGCAACCTGCTGAATATCAATGAAACCCAAACCAAGTAGGAATGGCACTCAGGCAAACACTTACTAGTCATTTTTGTCTGACCTGATTCACCAAAGCAAGATTCTTTAAACTGTGTGGGTTTTTCTGTTGCAGATGCAGAGGCTGGCTGGTGCGAAGGGTGTGCTGTGTCTTGTTTGTGAGTGGGTGCAAGGTTTATGGGAGTCCTGTTAGCGACAGGTTGGAGAGAGTCTGTCAAAGCAACAGGTACCCTTGGGGAAGGAGTGGGAGGGGGGCAGGCATAGAGATGCCAAAGGAGTGTAAATAAATGATAGGCAAAGATACAGAAAATGAAACTGGCTGCCACCGCTCTAAGGTGAGTCAAAGGAAAGAGAAAACCAGTAGCAAGATAAGAGAAATGAAGAAACTGAAAGTGGAGCCCATCAACAGCTCTGTGCAGAACGAAAGAAAATGGATGACTTTGTTCGTTGTTCACGCTTTCTTTATCTCTGTCACGGAGTCCTTTCTATCCGAGTGTTTCTCACGTGTAATTGATTTCAAGCTTTATGTAACCACTTCACTCAGGGACGCTGCTGTTGTGGCTGTCGTCGTTTTACTGGAAGGTGGATGTTTGTGTAAGTGCTGTACAAATAAGGCTTTGTGTCATCCCTACGCTGCTGTCCTGTGACTGTGTTTCAGGGTGAAGGAGGTGCTGGCAGCAGACCAGAAAGCACTGGAAGGGAAAGATGGCCAAGGGCAGCTCAGTCTCCTCTCACCCTTCCAACCCCTCATCAATACCTGCATCTCCACTGGGCTATTAAGGTGTGTGGGGGGTGGGGTGGGGGTGGGGGGCATTTCTGCAATGGATGGGGGTCAAATATTTCCTTAATTCCCAATACGTCTAATGGTTGTTCTCTTTTCTCATCGTTATCATAAAACAGTAGAAATGATCAAATGTTTTGTTTGCCTTTTTAACAAATGCAGCTTGTAACCACAGCCTTGTGTAAATGATTACTCTTTAAGCTCTGCTGCTGTCCACTACTGTCAGAAACACAATCATGAGCTTTTGGCGGATGTGTTTTTATGTAATGAACAAGGACTGCCGTGAATAAAACAAAATTTACACCACCCTTGTACCTAAAACACTTGAGTTGAAAACGTTCTCCAACAAATACCGCTAATGTTGAACCTATTAGTCAGAGCAGAGGAAAAAAAGCACACCGTTGACTATTGTTGTGTTTCGTAGTATTCATTGAGGATGACCATAAGCTGCAGATGTAGTTGCTATGGAGAAGAGGGGGGGGGGGGGGGTATAAATGGAAGCAGAGCTGTCCATTATACAAGTAGAACACGTGCAAAACCTCAATAAATACAGATACAACCCACACAACATGTTTTCTGCATCTGCACAGAAGAGATTAGAACTACGGCCGAGTGATCAGGTTTTCATTTTATATCTCAGAACTTTTTAGACCGGTTCATTCATGAAAGGTCCATGCTCTGCCTAGACCTGCCACAGTTACCAGTTAATTGTGTAGGAACAATTATTTTCACTTAGCTTTGATCTTATTTGAATAATGCTCCATCTACTCTGGTTCACCCAACTATTGTGAAATGACTGTTGTTGACATGGCAGATCTCTGTAAATGGCACAGAATTTAATATTTTCCTGCTTTTATTTTCTAGAAAACTGGTATTCTGTGTGAGGGCCGTATGGTATATTTTTAAATGAGTATTTCTCTGTTGCTGACAAAATTGAGACAGTTAAGTCGTTAATTCTTCAAATTGCAAATGATGGAAAGCTAACCTTTCCTAATCGAACCCAGATCTACTGAGATACTCTGAGTCGTCCAACCTTTTCCTGCTGGAAATCAGTGTTCAGAAATGTAACATTCAGATCTGAAAACCTGAATGCATAAAACATCCCTGTCATTTTTGGTTGCTTTATGGTGAAACAGAAAGGAACAACAAAGAGAAAGAAGCGGCACAGGCTGATGCTTTTTAAAATCTCCTCCTGCCTAAAAGAGACTTAACAGAGATGTTTTTTACTCTCCAAGACTTGGATGATGTTGGTGAGATTGCTACGCTTCAAATGCACGACTATCCCTCAGTCACTCATCACACATCTGAAGATGACAGTTGTTGAGGCTCTAACTTGTCCATGAGCATTTCAAAGTGAAATTGGGTACCATGAGTCTTTCAGCTCTTAAAATCCTGCTTCAACATCCAGACAGTTCTCGAAATTCTGCAAATGTCTGATGAAATGGAGCTGAGACTTCTTGCTGTTTCTTCCTTCAAAGAAGCTCCTCAGGATTTCTCGTGGCCTAACGAGTCTCATTTAAAAATCTCCTTTTTCACCCTCATTTCTTCTCCTTTTTACCCCATTTAGAGCTACGACCTTTATTTCTCTGCAGCTGTCACCTGCACCCCCCTTCCTCTATCGCTTTCCGCTCATCCCTTTTCTCCCTACTTTGTCTCTCTCCTATCTAATTTACATGTGGTCTAACTGAACTCTATTCTCACCCTTTTTTTATATCAAAGCTACATTTTACTCACATCATTGACAGCTTCTTCTCCTAGCTCCGTTTCAGTTTGTCAATTACTTTATCCAGTCTCTACTCGTCTTCTTGTCCTTATCGTGCGTCTCTTTATCTCTACAAACTCCCTTTTGTCTAGATTCACAAGCTGGGTGATGCTGAAGATATGGGCATCTGTGTTTGGAATTGTCCAGGTTAACCTCAATCATCTGCCAGCTATAAGCAAAGCATCACAAGAGGTATGAAGTAGAACTGCGTGTTATTACATCGCTGTATGTGTGTGATAGTCACACCGCAAGTCCCGCTGCGATGTGCGACTCATCTAATGTTAAGGGTACCTGACAGGAAGCGATCCACCAATCACAATCGCTCGAAATCATTTTGCTGAAGCAGACCTCAAGGGAGATTGGTTATGTGCAAGATGGTTGTTTTCAAATTCCCATTTGTCATTATAATACTGCACCACAGCTGGTTTGAGCTATACATCTGAGAATAGGGGGCTGCACTTGTGACCCATCTGCCAATAGATTTTGCCTCAGCAGAGAGAGGTTAAAACGTCACCTATTGGATCGGGTAAGATGTCCAATAGAAGTTGGAAGATGCTAACAGAGGCTATGATGGAAACTTTTTAAGAAAGAGACAAATTTGAAGAATGTTTTTAAGTATTTAGCTATATATTAAGTTAGATTGTTGAAGTAAGACGTGTTGTGGACATACTCTTTTGTTGGAAGACATTAATTGGACCCTTGAGGATGTAAAGACTAACATGATGAGGCTTCGAATGGTGAGTTGGACATGGATTTGCATTTCTGAGTGGTTTGACAAAGGTGTGTACTGTGTTTAGTTACAATTTTTAACTAAAATGCAGATTTTGACCCTTAAGAATGGAATTTATCTCCCATGATTCATCAAAGGCCCGTGTTTAAAAAAAATACTTTTGTTTTTTTGTCGACCAGCTGGCAGAAGTTAGCTTAAAGATCCATTCAAGTCATTTGTTGATAGTACCTTTAGTTTTTTAACATCACTATATATACTGCAGGGTTAGAAAAAATTGCATTGTAAAGGTTTTGTCCTTTGAAGGTTTTACACACACACACACACACACACACACACACACACACACACACACACACACCTTTCAAAGACAGTTAAATGTGTTTATGCGTTCCCTAAATTAGCCAGTTTAGTCTGTAAAGTGTCAAAACTTTGCATTTTTACACACAGAAGCTGATGTTTAACCTCCTCACAAGTTCACACCCGGGGTGTAGACTGAAGGTACGGTGTCCAACATAATGAGATGTTATCGTCTACAAATGTGTTTCTATTCTTCTGTATAAGCAAGATGATGAAAGTGCTACTTGCAGTGATGCAAAATTTAAACTTTTTGAAAAGTTTATCTTCTCCTTTTAAACTTTTGATTTTACTTCAAACCACACAGATCTAATTACATGGTTGACTAGATGGGTAGCGAATGAGTCGGGGTGCTTTTTAGGGGTTATGAATGAATTTGGTTGAAATATGTTGCATTTCTTAGAAAGGGCATACCAAAACCAGTAAATTCATCAGGTGTTGATCAGGATATTAATAAGATGTCTCGTATATTTTCTGAATAATTCGTTTTCATGTACTCGGTAGAACTTTGAAAGCATTTATGTTGATTAACTCATTCACCGCCAGTCGTTTCCTGATCAGAAAAGCCCTTCGCTGCCAGCACTTTTCAGCGTTTTCACAGTTTCTTTTAAGTCACACAATATAGCGCTCTATGATGATGTCAATGCCAAAACAACCAAAAAAAAAAAAGCGGAGACTCACCTCTTACATCAGGAAGAAACTGCACATTTTGAGCGTTATCCATTCTTTCGTCATCCGTTGTCGAATCGTGATCGGCAGAACCTTTTCCGGTTCGCGCCTCACTTTTTTTTACAGCAGCGGCCCAAAACGATCTCCTAATGGGCTCGACACATTGGAGGCGACAAACGACCGTGATCAGCGAAATTCGTCGCTGTCGCTTTTATTACCTCACACACGGGGGAGGTGGCCAGCGGCAAAGCCGTCTACGCGTTCTGTTCCATGGCGAAATCGAAACTTCCGTTGTTTTGTTTGGCTGTGTCAGGTTGGAGGGAATTAAGGTTATTTAAGCGGTTCAGAGTTAATAAAGCGGTAGATATGATGTTTCACAAGGTGCTGCTAGAGTTATGTGAAATCTTACTTCTGATTTTACTATATAAAACATAATAATAATCAACTTCTCCTCCATGTTTGCTCGGAGGTGTACGGAGCATCCTGTCCGCTCATTGATCAGTGAATGAAACCTCCGTTGATTGGTCCTCGTCAGAGCGACAGTGATGAAATGTTGAAAATGTTTCAACTTCCTGGGATCGCGTCGCTGGGTCGCCTGTGCACGACACGTGCACAAGCGCAAAATTTCTCACGCACGTTTTTCGCGTTTCGCTTGGTAGGAGGGAGACCCGCGATTATCGCTTTGTCGCGCATGTCTCATTGAAAATGAATGGAGGAGAGGCGATGTCGCCTTCCGTGTGTCGAGCCCATAACACATGGATTTTCTACTTCCTGATCATGTGACGTGTGACCTATGCAAATGAAGATCGGCTCTAGAGCTGAGATGTTTGTTCCCACAGTGCGGGGGCTCGTTCCGTATGGAACTCAAAAGTATTCAAAATTCAATAAATAAATAAGACATTATGAAATAAATATCTACATGAAGAAATACTAGACAATCATGTAATCTGACAATGAAATGATGAAATAACAAATTGTTATGCAAAATCTTAGCTCAATATTATGAAATATTTTTCATTCTTTTAAAATGTCTTTATTAATTGTTTTTTTTTTTCAAAAGTCATTTTTTCATAATGGTCCAAATTAATATTGAGCCATCTTTATTTAATTCATTCAGTTGTCATCACGTCTTTAACAAAGACAGCTTTTATTTCATAATAGTTAGGGCTGCACAATAAATCGTAAATATATTGTTATCGCGATATCAGCATGCACAATATGCATATCGCAAATAACAGAAAAATATCGCAATGAACGGTCAGCTCAAATGTTTGCTACACATAACGCATTCTGTCAATCAAACGGGAGCATGATGTTTTTTTAACGAATCAAATGGAGCTCTTCACCCGTTTGGCCAATCGGGTGGGTTCTAGATGCCCGCCCCCGAGGCGGGCGGCACTTAATTTAGATGGTTAGCAAACACCTGAGTTAGCTTTGTTCTGCTCTTTCTGCTGATTCTGCTTTTCCTGGGATCCACCGATCGCCTTTTCTTGTTCATTTTCTTTTTCCCTTTCCTCACATCTTTTGCTTTTTTTATTTTTATTATTTTTTTATTTTGATTATTTTTGTTCCTGAGTTAAGTTTTTATTTATCGCAAGTAATATCGTCATCACGATATTAATCACAGTTATCAAATATCGCAGGTTTTCCTTATATCGTGCAGCCCTAATAATAGTGTTTTCCCCCATGGCTGATTCATTTCATAATGAGACTTTACAGCACAATGTCTCAGTCCGTCAGCCAAGACTAACGGGGTGCAGCCAGTGTGTCATTGGCTGCTAATTCAGTCAGACAAAAGCAATCACTCAGAATGTATGGACACGGTGCTCGTGTGTCCGAATCCGTGGGCAGGATGCTTTTGAGTACGGGTCCTCGCCAGTCTAGCAAGGCCGGGTCCTTGCTCGACCGCTAAGACCGGAACCTAGCGGCTTTGTTGCCCATAGGTCCCATCACAGCTGTGGTGGCAGCTACATGCAAAGGAAAAATGCTAAAGCTAGCGAAAATGGAGCAGGAATATTAAGGAGCTACAGCAGCTTCACGTCCATCAGCAACGTTTGTTCACAACCGTTTTCAGGTAAAGTAGTTTTGTTTATTCTAGAAGCTTTCAGGACTTACATGTTAACTTTAGATGGTTTCATGTATGTTTTAAGCTACAGAATGAACTTGTTAAATGTACACAACACATTACTACAGAGTATTATTGTGTAGGTAATTAGTGTAAACCAAATCCATTATAAATGTTGAATACAGTAGGACATTTTCTAATGTTAATTGGACCTTAGAACTTCTTATTTTGCATCAAATGGGAGTAAAACATTTTACAAAAACAGGATTTTAATAAAATAGCATTGAATTGTTTTCATTGTGCATTTGTTTATTCAACTTAAGCCTAATAATGATTAGATCTGTCTTAAAAATGTAAATTCTCTGTAGTTTTCCCTGCTGCTTTTCTTTAAACTGAACAGAACCAGTGTACTGCAGGTTATATGTTTTGTTTTACATTTTTCAATAAAAAACTTATTTTTTTTACTATGACAGGTCAGCATGCACTGTGCTGGACATCTGCCTCTGTGCTGGTGAGGTTGTGGCCCTGGAGGATGAGCCTGAGGAAGATGTGTGTGGAGGAGGTCAGTGGTGCTCTGTCCTGCAGGAGGTACCAGCAGACCACCACTACTGTTAACAGGCAAGTCATTCACAGAGATGTAACAGCCGTCGTCTGAGCCAGCCCAGCAGGCCCTGTAGATGGATGATGGAGTGGACAGTGAGAGGAAGCCTCCCAAAGCTCTCTGCAGACCGTCCTGTATGATGTTCCTCTGACCAGAAACATCCAACCATGGGTCTGCTCCAGCCCTCCATCCACGCCTGGATCCTCCTGCAGCAGATCCAGCTGCACTGTTAAAAACTTCCTGCTCACACAGTTTAAATAAATGATCCAGGAAGAGTCACTCAGGTTAATCCTGCTTTAACCGTACATAACTGGTCCAAACTGGTTTTGACCTGTAAATAATTGTAATGTATTATAAATAATCTTGTCTCCTTACCATCTTTTCATTTTCTGTTGTTGTAACATGTTCAAAAACATCTGTAATAATAAAACTGGTGATAAAATCAATGACCAGGAAAAAGTTATCAGTTAGTATTTGTTTTAATAAATGTGTTCAAATATCAAAAAGCTAAATAACATTAACATGATGACAGTAGAAGGCCTCTCTCCCAGGAGGACCACCAGGTAAAGCCTCTCCTGACCCTGGACACCCGCAGTCCTAAACAGAGAAAATCAGACCACAGGTGACAAAAAGGCAAACACATTTTTACATTTATCCACATGAGAAGATAAAAATTATGTTCTTCACAAAAACAATTTTTACTTCATTTTAACGTGTCAGCTGTGTAAATCCTTGAATGTAAAACAACTTTTCACAGCAGAACACAGAACTACTGTGGTCGTGTGTAGCCCTAACCCTAAAACAAATGACAAGTTTAATTCGCCACACACACACACACACACACACACACACACACACACACACACACCCACACGGGAATAACTACGGGACCCGTGATACAAGCTCGTTCTGGCTGATTTCTGCCTAGAATGTAATTTAAAAAACAAATACACAAACGAAAAATGTCTATAAAAAGAACCGCTTTAAGCTTTTTAGTATTCTACCGCTAGTTTTTAAAAAAACTTAAGTTTAACACGTCGTTGCTCTGCCCATTTTCTCTTAATGTTGAAAGTCCACAGCCGGCGCGCAAAGCATGCTGGGATAGCCTTGTTCTATTACAGAGAAATCCAGGAAAACCAAACGATATTGAAGGATTAACCAATGGTGTTGCAGGTCACACCCACTGGCTTGACAGATGGACTGAGATATTATGTTTATGTTTATGTTTTTAGCAGACGCTTTTGTCCAAAGCGACTTACAAGTGATAATCGGCATATTGCCCTTGAGGCTAACAACAACAATAACAACAACAACATTGACATCAGTCATGGAGAGTAGGGAACAAGGAGTGGACAGAAGAGAGGGGGGGGCGGGTGCAGGGAGGGTGCTAGTTTAGAAGATGCTCTCTGAAGAGCAGGGTCTTCAGGAGTTTCTTGAAAATAGAAAAGGAAGCCGCTGTTCTGGTAGTGCTTGGAAGGTCATTCCACATTTGTGGAACGATGCATGAGAAGAGTCTGGATTGTCCTGAGCGTGGTGTAGGCACTGCTAGCCGACGATCCTGTGATGACCGGAGCGACCGGGCCGAGACGTAAGCCTTTGCAAGAGGATTCAGGTAGATGGAAGCCGTACCATCTCAGACTTTGTATGCTAGTGTTAGCGATTTGAATTTGATGCGTGCTGCTAGCGGTAGCCAGTGGAGCTCAATGAACAGAGGGGTGACGTGTGCTTTTTTAGGCTGATTGAAGACCAGATGCGCCGCTGCGTTCTGGACCTTTTGAAGAGGTCTCACAGTACACCCTGGAAGACCAATTAGAAGGGCATTGCAGTAATCGAGGCGGGAGATGACAGTAGATTGCACCAGGAGCTGGGTGGCATGTTGTGTTAGGTATGGTCTGATCTTTCGTATGTTATACAGCGCAAAGCGGCATGAATGAGCAACAGAGGCAACATGATCTTTAAAGATCAGGTGTTCATCGATCACAACACCCAGATTTCGAACTGCCTTTGAAGGAGCCAGAGATAGGAGGTCATTCTGGATTGAGATATTGTGCTGTATGGATGGTTTTGCTGGGATGACAAGTAGTTCAGTTTCAGAGAGGTTGAGTTGGAGATGGTGGGATTTCATCCATTTTGGTATGTCAGAGAGACAGTTTGATGTTTGTGCAGAGACAGTGTGGTCGTCCGGTGGAAATGACAGATAGAGCTGGGTGTCGTCTGCATAGCAGTGGTAGGAGAAGCCATGTGATCGAATGATCTCACCCAGTGAGGTGGTGTAAATGGCAAAGAGAAGAGGTCCTAGTACTGAGCCCTGGGGGACTCCTGTGGCAAGATGGTGCACGGTAGAGGATTGTCCAAGCCAAGATACACTGAATGATCGTCCTGTGAGTACGATTCAAACCAGGCGTGTGCTTTCAGTGTCAAATGCAGCCGATAAGTCGAGCAGGATATGCACTGAGGATTTGCCAGTCACTCTAGCTTCTTTTAAGCATTCAGTCACTGCTAACAGTGCAGTTTCAGTGGAGTGGCCCTTTTTGAATCCAGATTGGTAAGGGTCAAGCAGACAGTTTTGTGAGAGGTATTCTGTAATCTGCTTGAAAGCCACCCTTTCAATGATTTTGGACAGAAAAGGGAGGAGAGAAGTAGGTCGGTAGTTCTCCACATGATTTGAAGGAAGAAATGGGTTTTTTTTTTAGCAGCGGTTTAACCTGAGCATGCTTGAGAGAGGTGGGAAATGTACCGGATGTTAGTGAAGCATTGATCACATGTGTGACTGCTGCGGCTACTGTAGGAGCAATAGCTTGGAGCAGCTTAGTCGCAATGGGGTAAATTGGGCATGTAGTAGAGCAGCTGCACGTGAGAAGCTTGAACACACAGTTCTCAGTGAGAGGGGAAAAAGAGGAAAATGAAGCAGTAGGGCCTGAGATGGTTGGGCTTGAAGGAGTTTGTGGTAGCGAATGTTCAGGAGTGGCCAGTTGAGTAAACTGTTTGCTTATAGCTGCCACTTTGTCAGTGAAGAATGAGGCAAAGGTGTCAGCTGATAGATTGTTGGTAGGAGGTGGAGATGGAGGGTTGAGCAGAGTTTTGAATGTAGAAAATAGTTTCTGAGAGTCAGTAGAGCTGAGAATTTTGTCAGTGTAGAAAGCTTTCTTTGCATCAGTGATGCTGGCAGAGAATGAGGACAGTAATTCATGAAATTTCAATAGATCACCAGGATCTTATGTTTTGCGCCATTTCCGTTCCGCAGCTCTAAGATTGGTGCGTAGAGACCGGAGGGTATCATTTAGCCAAGGATGCGACTGAGAGGATCTAGCAGGTCTAGTGGCTAAAGGACACAAGTTGTTAAGACAAGAGCAGAGTGTGGAGCAGAGTGACTCGGTGGCATCATTCACTTCATAAGCAGAGAATGTGCTGGGAGATGGAAGAGTGGAGGCAACAAGAGAGGAGAAGTAGTTGGGTGCCAGATTGCGGAGGTTGCGGCGGAATGAGACCATTGGGGAGGAAGCGGTGGACCTCCCTTGTAGAGTCGTGCTGAAATGGATGAAGTAATGATCAGAAAGATGCAGCGGTGTGACAGAGATTGTGTCTATGGCACAGTTTCTGGTGAAAATGAGGTCCAGTGCTTTTCCATCTTTGTGAGTTGGAGGACTTTGTACTAGTTTTAAATCAAATGATGACATTAGTGATAGGAAGCCTGATGAGCTGGGATTGTCCAGGTGAATATTCATGTCTCCAAGGACCATTGTGGGATAGTCGTGCTCAGGAATGGAGGAAACCAGGGTGTCGAGTTCATCAAGAACGTCTCTGAGTTGACCTGGTTGTCGATATATGACAACCAAAAATAATTGTTTCAGTACAGTTACCTGGATGGCATGGCTTTCAAAGGAGTTTTATTTAGTGATGGGTAGCAACTGACTGTATATCCATTTATTGGAAATTAACATGCCCGTTCCACCACCTCGGCAAGATGCACGTGAAGTGTGGGAGAAAGTGTGGTTAACTGACAGAGCAGATGGGGTAGCATTGTCACATGGTTTTATCCAGGTCTCAGTGAGAGCAAGTGCATCAAGTGACAGGTGGTTTGCATATACGCTAATGAAGTCAGCTTTGTTTACAGCTGATTGGCAGTTCCACAGTCCCATAGACAGGTGGATGTCTTCGAGTTGGTTTTAGCGAGCGGAGGTTTTGAAGGTTGTGAAAGCGGTTTGCTGTGTGTGACCTTCCTCTGAAGCCAGTGACCACAGGTATAGGATAATGGCACATTTTGCTAGGTGTCGATGAAGCAGCGTCTGGGCCGAGTTTGTTTGCTCTGTGGACAAGCGCAGGTAGACATGTATGTCTTTACCCTGGAGGGGCTGAGGCACAAGGGCTTACGCTTCAGTTATGCCACCAAACTTATGCTGTGTGGAAACAGGTGTTAGTGCAGCAGCTGATTGCAATGATTGAGACCTAGATCACCTGATGAGTGCTTTCAGGGAGGGGAGAAACAGCCCCTGATTACACTTATTGTTTTCACTTTGCCCAAACCGGAGCTAGTAGACAACAGGATAACCCACAAATGAGTTTCCTTCTCTTTTCCCAATGGAAGATAGTGCAAAGCAAAAGTTTAAGAAGACAAAAACAGGCACTAACAGACACTCAAGGCCCTTTTAAAAGAAGAATGAAAAATATTTCATAATATTGAGCTCAGATTTCACAAAACATTCTGTTATTTCATCATTTCATTGTCAGATTACGATTGTCTAGTATTTCTTCATGTAGATGTTTATTTCATAATGTCTTATTTATTGAATTTTGAATACTTTTGAGTTCCGTAGTTCAGACGCCCACACAGTGAAACACTGTAAATAGTGAATGGTTGGATTTAAATTGATGTTTTTTGTCGTCAGTGACAGTTATTGAGGTAATTTATAACATCCTTTTATTTTTTCAGATAGCTCAAATTTTTGCTTTCAGTTTTAATTTTCTCACATAAATTAAGAACTCGGGTGTTAGAAATGATTATCTGAATGCTAATATATATAATAAAACTTGCATATCAATAAACAAAAACCTGACAGCTAAGTATCTTTTGTTCTTTAGAGATTAAAGAAAAAGATTTTGCTGCACTTTTCATCTGAAAACCATATTTTTTCTCGGTTCATCAAGCTCTCTGACCCCGCTCACATCTCATTTAGAGAGTTCATCTCATGATTTTAAATACATGTTCCTGACATTCCTTTTACTTGAAGCTCGCAGTGTTTGATCGCCATACAGATTCATCATGAGCTCACACACAGTCACCTGTTCACAGCCAGTCTTTGTTTGCTGTGATGAATAATGTGAAGAATTTTATTTTTCTGAAGCTGCTTGTGTTCTCTGATTCAGGGAGCTCCAGTAGTTTATGTGTATGTGCGTCAGAGAGCCGTGGACTGTGCCCTCCTCCCTCTCGTGCTCTTCTGTCACAACCTGAGAGTACCATTCACCATTTGTCCTGTCCAGATTAAAAGCTACTTCCTAAGGTACATTTGTTCTTGCAGTAACCCTAAGAACCTAAAAAGAAGGTTGATCTTCAGGAACAAGTAACTACAGGTCCTTCTCAAAAAATTAGCTTAATGTGATAAAAGTTCATTATTGTCTGTAATGTATTGATAAACATTAGACTTTCATATAAGACTCATTACACACAACTGAAGTAGTTCAAGTCTTTCATTGTTTCTAATATTGATGATTTTTGCGTACAGCTCATGAAAACCCTAAATTCCTATCTCAAAAAATTAGCATATCATGAAAAGGTTCTCTAAACAAGCTATTAACCTAATCACCTGAATCAACTAATTAACTCTAAACACCTGCAAAAGATTCCTGAGGCTTTTAAAAACTCCCAGCCTGGTTCATTACTCAAAACTGCAATCATGGGTAAGACTGCCTACCTGACTGCTGTCCAGAAGGTCATCATTGACACCCTCAAGCAAGAGAGTAAGACACAGAAAGACATTTCTGAACGAATAGGCTGTTCCCAGAGTGCTGTATCAAGGCACCTCAGTGGGAAGGAAAAAGTGTGGCAGAAAACGCTGCACAACGAGAAGAGGCAACCGGACCCTGAGGAAGATTGTGGAGAAGGGCCGATTCCAGACCTTGGGGGACCTGTGGAAGCAGTGGACTGAGTCTGGAGTAGAAACATCCAGAGCCACCGTGTACGGGTGTGTGCAGGAAATGGGCTACAGGTGCTGCATTCCCCAGGTCAAGCCACTTTTGAACCAGAAACAGCGGCAGGAGCGCCTGACCTGGGCTACAGAGAAGCAGCGCTGGACTGTTGCTCAGTGGTCCAAAGTACTTTTTTCAGATGAAAGCAAATTTTGCATGTCATTCGGAAATAAAGGGGCGAGAGTCTGGAGGAAGACTGGGCAGAGGGAAATGCCAACATGTCTGAAGTCCAGTGTCAAGTACCCACAGTCAGTGATGGTCTGGGGCGCCATGTCAGCTGCTGGTGTTGGTCCACTGTGTTTTATCAAGGGCAGGGTCACTGCAGCTAGCTATCAGGAGATTTTGGAGCACTTCATGCTTCCATCTGCTGAAAAGCTTTATGGAGATGAAGATTTCATTTTTCAGCACGACCTGGCACCTGCTCGCAGTGCCAACACCACTGGTAAATGGTTTACTGACCATGGTATTACTGTGCTCAACTGGCCTGCCAACTCTCCTGACCTGAACCCCGTAGAGAATCTGTGGGATATTGTGAAGAGAAAGTTGAGACGCAAGACCCAACACTCTGGATGAGCTTAAGGCCGCTATCGAAGCATCCTGGGCCTCCATAACACCTCAGCAGTGCCACAGGCTGATTGCCTCCATGCCACGCCGCATTGAAGCAGTCATTTCTGCAAAAGGATTCCCGACCAAGTATTGAGTGCATAACTGAACATAATTATTTGAAGGTTGACTCTTTTTGTATTAAAACACTTTTCTTTTATTGGTCGGATGAAATATGCTAATTTTTTTAGATAGGATTTTTGGGTTTTCATGAGCTGTATGCCAAAATCATCAATATTAGAAACAATAAAAGGCTTGAACTACTTCAGTTGTGTGTAATGAATCTCATATATATGAAAGTCTAATGTTTATCAGTACATTACAGAAAATAATGAACTTTATCACAATATGCTTATTTTTTGAGAAGGACCTGTAGTTTTTCTCTGTTCACTGTCAGGCTTGCTGCAGTTTCTTTTTTAGCTGTGACAAAAGATGCTGAATCATAAAATTACTCCAAGCTTCATAAACTGTACACTTGTCATTTCTCCAACAGATCAGTCCTGCAGAAACTCGGTGTGGTCCTTCTACCACCTTCTGCGCTGACTGAAGTGGAAGCTGAAAGGGACCCTCTGTATTCTGTAGTCATGACCTCTGTAAGTCCAACATGTTTTTTAAGGGGATATATTATGTAAAACTCACCTTTTGCATCCTTTTGTGCTGCTATGTGGGTCTCAACTACCTCAGAATATCCACCCATTTTTTGTCAGTGTTTGGTTTAGGAATCATATGCCCAAAACAAGCCATTTCAAAAAGTTCTCTTGTGTGACATCACAAAATTTGCATAGAACCACCGCTCACCTGTCAACACTTGAGGAGCAGCAAATCCACTCTAAACCCCTCTTAGTTATCTGAGTTTCTCAGCTAGTAGCAGCCTGAGTGGGGTATGGGTGGGTGCATTCAGCTCCAGCTTGTTTTCTGAGAGTGACAATGTGAAGTTTTTACCATTAGTCTCTGCAAATATCCATCAAAATGTTGCTGAAAGTTAATTAAATGATTTCCAGTCATTGACAAATACTGGCATATAACCATAAAAATTGAGTTAAAAGTACATAGAACATGGTTGGGGGACGCCATATTAGACACCATGTTTCCTGTTTGCTGGCTCGGGGTCTTGCGCCTGTTGATGACATCACACTAGATCAGGTTTATTCAATTCCAGGCCTGGAGGGCCGTTAAACAGCATGTTTTAGTCTTAACTGTGCTTCAGCACACCTGATTTCAATCAGCAGTTTATTGACAGACTTCTGCAGAGCCTGATGAGCTGCTGCACACCACTGAATCAAGTGTGTTGGAGCAAAGAAACCACTAAAACGTGCTGGATACTGGCCCTCCAGTCCCGGAATTGAAAAACCCCTGCACTAGATGGTGGCTGGATTTACGACCGGTGGAAGTCTCGTTACCACATTCGAAAACATTTAGGCAACAAGAAACATGAATTTAATAACAAAACTGCTAAACTCGTTCAAAAACCTATGTGAAAGAACAGAATCGAAAAAGAGGTGGGATGTATTTTGGCCAAGTGGTGTTGCCATAGTAAAGGAATAAATTATATGCTTAAAGAGTCCTGCTTATGCTTCTGAGATGTTAGAAAAGAACTATTTTGTTCGATTGATGGCTATTTTAAAGATTAGCTTTAGATGTTATTAACAAATAAAGTTTTCATAAATACAGTGTGAAAGACGGGACAACAAAATATGTTCACAGAAGAACTGTGTAGCGTAGGTAAATTGAAGATTTTTATTTGTTATGACCAGGAAGATGTAATATTCTATATAAATATACAGTATCAACCTGCTAGGTCTTTATTTTATATTATCAGAAGATTCTAGGATTTAATTCAGAAGATCTACGTTCTTTGCTTTTTCAGTGATCAACCACACTTGGTGTTATTTCAAGAAAGAGTCGGGTTTATAAAAGTAAGAATTTGTTTAGCAAACAATTAAAACATGACTAATTAACTAAGCATTTACTGAGTGGATGTAACTAAACGTGATGAAGGAACCTATGTGTGAATGTGATGTCAGTCAGAGCTTCCTTATCAAAGTAAGCTGAGTTCTGTTGAAAAGAATTTGGTTTGCTCTAAGCTATAAAGTTCTTGTCATCAGAAGAACATCAGACGCAATCTGTCATGTCTACTTCACCCGTTTTGGTGAGACCCTCATGGTGGATCCGAAAGTCGCAGGGATCGGCTGACCTCTGGCACCAGAGGGCTGTAGAATACCGTGGTACCAACTCTTCAGTCCAGACATGTCTCGGGTCACAACAGCTGGATGGAACCGTGCGTCTGGCCAACTCTTACGGAGTCTAACAAAATCAGGAACTGTTTGCTCCTCAGCTTTGCAGGTGCAAAAAGGTTTTGACGACGTGTCAAAATCTTTGATGGTTAAAGACGTTTACTACAGATGGCCGGCCTGAAGTGATTCTCTAGAACTCTAATCACTCAGGATGATCCAGTTTTAAGGTTTTGATGTTATGACTTGCACAGCCAATCAGAAGCTGACAAGTTTGAAAGATGTTACCAAGACAACTCAGAAACACGCCTTCTTGATACAGGATGTTCTGACTGGTTTAAAAGTCTCTGTTTTGGAGTTTAAAGAGCAAGTCACCCCCAAATCACTTCTTTTTTTTGCTGATAAACTGTATAAAGGAGTGTCTAATCATGCTTCAGACACGTGTCGTCAATAATTTGGCACTTCAGTGCATCTTGGTTAAAATTCAAATATTCTGCCTAAAACTGTCAGTGTTGCGCCGTCGTCAGGGAAAAATTCTGCACTGTATTTGAATTTAAATCTGCCACCTCTATTGGCTAAGAGGTATGCTATGATGTCATCTGGTACATTATGATGTCATAATGCCATTGTGAGCCTGTGTGTGTATTTGTTAGCAGCTCCGCCCTCTCGGTCTGCCAAGCAACAGCATTTGTTGCATTTTTCAAAAAGGAAGTGGGAGTGAAGAAAGTTTCTTGTAGGGGGTGACTTGCTCTTTAACTTAACCTTACTTACTGTGTGAGTGCAGGTGTGAGGACCTCGTCGTTGAATCAAGTTGAACACATGGCAGTTTCCAGTAGACATAAACATAACATCTATTCAGTGAGCACCGATTAATGAAGCATTTCATTATACTATAAGTATTATAAGTAGTAATAAACAAATGTTTATTTAATGATTATCCAAATTATAAGTCATGGAAGAAGTTCATATTGATTTGGGAAATCATTCTTGAATTAAGCAATTGAGCTGGAGTTCTTCCTTCTGTGGAGGACGCCAGATGGGACCTTGGGAAAGAAAGTTATTGTTTATCTTTGAGACTTGCAGAGTCTGTGAGTCCCAGCTGGTATGAAGGCAGGCTCATTTAAGGGGAACACGAGCAGTGTTGTCTCCTTTCTGACCAGATGTTGAAAGGTCAGACTGTACCTAAACTGACCATTGCTGGACGTTACAACTGCTACATTCAGAAACGGATAAAATATTTTAGTTCAAGCCCAAAGTTTTGGGACAACTGACAAAGCAACATTAATACTTCATAAATAAAAAACCATCATGCTTTGAAGTGGTTTGTCTCATCTGTCTCACGTCCACATCGGAGGATAGAGTTCCGACGTAGCGGGGTTCAAATGGGAGCAGAAATCCAGTAGCATTGCTCTGACTCAGGAGAACAGCCTAACAACTGAAAGGTTGATGGTTGAATTTCTGCTTCCCTACTCTGAAAGTGTCCGTGACTGTGAGTATAGCCCCTGTGTTGCCCATGAGCCGTGACTAGTCATGACTATGGTAAGCAAAGCATTAAAAGCCAAATAAAACACACTTTTTCCACTTTGCTATGATTTGACAGCCGCATTCAGTTGTTTGATTGTAGGTTTTGCAAAGCCTTTATCTTTTTGCTCGGCGAGTATGATAGCACTCGGAACCAGAAAGGTTCTGTTCTGTACACTGAAAACCCTAGGTGTGGATGATTATCTACCTGCTGTTAAAATTTAAACAGATGAGCTGCTTCTGGCTGAATCTGATCAGAGGATTTGTTTGTGAAATCAGAATTCTCCCTCTTTTTTTTTTTGTTTTCGGTCTCATCAATAATAAACCATACGGGTTCATGCCATCTCACTGCCTCCACCTGGTTAACAGTTAATGATATATGATTATGGTCATGGAGCTTCTGCTCCTAATACACCAGAAAAGTGATGCGTTTACCTCCTGGAGAGAGTTTTTCACATGGCTGAATTTTATTGGAGGTATTTTCTTTACTCAGAAATAGAGGCTGATATCATCCACCGCTGTTATCTTCCATAGACATCAGTGCTTTCTTTCCTCCACTCTCATCTTCTTTATCTTTCAGAATAGATTAAACTGTTGACTTGGTCTCTCCTAATAATGACTGTTATTGTGTTTGTTTTAAAGGATGGCCTATTGTAGGTTCCCAGACAACATTTTACATGAACAGCCAAAAAAAAATTACAAACTATTTGTCACTTGTGTTTATAAAACCCAAACCTGGGCAGATGGCTCTAATGGGCTCGGCACACGGGAGGCCACATCGCCTCTCCTCCATTCATCTTCAATGAGACATGAGCGACAAAGCGATAATCGCGGCTCTCCATCCTAGTAAGCGAAAAATGTGCGTGTGAAATGTTGCGCTCGTGCACGTTTCGTGCACAGGCGACTCAGCGACGCGATCCCAGAAAGTTGAAATATTTTCTACTTTTCATCGCTGTCGCTCGGACGAGGACCAATCGACGGAGGTTTCACTCACTGACCAGTGAGCGGACAGGATGCTCCGTACACCTCCGAGCAAACATGGAGGAGAAGTTGATTATTATTATGTTTTATAGTAAAATCACAAGTAAGAGTTCACATAACTCTAGCAGCACCTTGTGAAACATCATATCTACCACTTTATTCACTCTGAACCGCTTAAATAACCTTAATTCCCTCCAACCTGACACAGCCAATCAAAACAACGGAAGTTTCAATTTCTCCATGGAACAGAACGCGTAGACGGCTTTGCCGCTGCCGCTGGTCGCCTCCCGTGTGTCAGGTAATAAAAGCGACAGCGACGAATTTCGCTGATCGCGGTCGTTTGTCGCCTCCCGTGTGTCGAGCCCCTAAGTAGGGAGAGAAAATAATTTGTCAGATTTGCTCAAAAATTAGGAAGTGAGAGCAGGTAATTGTATGAAATTGCAGGATAAGCATTGCCGCCAAGACGTGTCATTATTATTTGGCTGTTGCGTTTGTGTGTATTCAGCTCAGCTCACGCTCAGACACTTTGCATTGCACTCCGTGTTGGAGTGTTATCACAGCCAACTTCTCAATCACAATGCAGCCTGTCTTTCCCTGTTGCCCCCATTCTCCAGCCTCATCCCACTTCCCATTCATTCTCAACATTATACCAGGCGGCTTGTGTTTTGATACAGAGATCTCGCCTTTGGAGTTGGCTTGGCAAAGTGATGAGAGCAGGGAGGAGAAATGAGAAGAATGGTGGTTAGTGTGATTGTGTTGACTTGGCACGTCTGCACGGGCTGTTTTCCCTTATTCGAATATATTTTCTCTCTATTTTGAACATTTTTTTTAGACTCCATTATTTATTCTATTATCCTGAAGTTTTATTGTTATCTCCAAGTACCTTCTTAGTTCTCTTTTTAAAACTGCCTCTATATTAAATAATGAATAACTCCTCATTATTATCTCGTCTAGTTTGTTTCTGGGAAAGAAGCTGGTTGTGGTTTTTGATTTGTTTTCCTAGAGACACATTTCATTTGGAGGGGTTGCCAGCTTTTTTTTTCCCAGATCAATATCGTGCTATACAGCTCAATAAAACCGTCCCGGCCGACATTAATACACAAGAACACAGACACAGTGGTTCATAAAAGGGTCATGTATTACTAATACAGCTTTGACTCATTTATGCAAATATATATTTATATATATTTGTATATCTATTTAAATCGTCCATTACCTTTTCATTCCTTGATCATTTAGGTAAGTCAGCATATTGGCTTGCGTGAGAAAGCGACCTTGTTTGTTGGTTGTATTTCAATGTTAATAGACCTTTATTGTTTATTGAGTGTGGGCCTGCTTAGCTGCTGTTCAATGGTAATTGAATTTTCCCCGTCTGTAAGAGGAAAACAGTACTCGAGGCAAGGGAAGTATCTCTGAATGTCATAACGTGCCCCACCACACACACGCACACACACACACACACACACACACACACACACCCCTACCCATCCTTCTATTCTTTAGCTCTTCAGCTTTCTCCACACACTGGCTTGTCATCCATCTGTGACTCTTCACATCCGTACCCCCGTCTCTTTATATTTTCTTCCCAAAGCTAAAGTCTTGCTAAATTATTAAATGGATGGCATGCATTGTGTTTTAATTGGTCTACTTCTGCCCGGGCTTTTCACTGCCATTTTTCTCTCCTCCTCAGCTGCTACGGGAGCTGCTCCATGAGGGTCAGGCGTTAAGTGTCGGTGTGTCAGCAGAGTCTGGCTTAGGTGGCCAGTGGCTGGCTCGCATCAGGCAGCTCATCAAAGAGGGATCTGTTGCTGATGTCACTCTGGTCCCTGTGGGCATCTCGTATGACCGTGTGACCAACGCCAACGTACAGGTGCCTGCGTGTAAACACACACTTAATAGAAACCATCTGTAACTGTTTTGCCCTCAAGTGCAATGTAGCAGATTTGGGTTTGCACGCTGTGAGCAAAGGAAATGTGAGGCAGAGATACTCTGAGGCAACAAAAAAAAAACCGGCATGTTGTTGTTCAGTTACAGTAGACTGGTTAGCTAATTTGGCTTCCTTATCAGGGTTAGAAACGGCTGCAGCACAAATATTCGGTGTGACGTACAGCTCACGGAGTCAGTTCAAGTTTTTAAACACTCAGTCTGGCAAATTGCATCAAAAATAGCAAAGTCATTACTGATCGAGTTACGTCTGAGCTCAGAGGCATTGTTTATGTTTATTTATTTTGCAAACGCATTATTTTAAATTTAGTGTGACTTGCCTTTCCTGTGTATTTCTCTGTTCTCAATAAATATTTATAAATCGTCGTCGTCGTCTTCCTCCGCTTATCCGGGTCCGGGTCGCGGGGGCAGCATCCCAACTAGGGAGCTCCAGACCGTCCTCTCCCCGGCCACCTCCACCAGCTCCTCCGGCAGGACCCCAAGGCGTTCCCGGACCAGATTGGAGATGTAACCTCTCTAACGTGTCCTGGGTCGACCCGGGGGCCTCCTGCCGGCAGGACGTGCCCGAAACACCTCCCCAGGGAGGCGTCCAGGAGGCATCCTGACCAGATGCCCAAACCACCTCAACTGACTCCTTTCGATCTGGAGGAGCAGCGGTTCTACTCCGAGGCCCTCCCGAATGTCCGAGCTCCTCACCCTATCTCTAAGGCTGAGCCCGGCCACCCTACGGAGGAAACTCATTTCGGCCGCTTGTATCCGTGATCTCGTTCTTTCGGTCATTACCCAAAGCTCATGACCATAGGTGAGGATTGGGACGTAGATCGACCGGTAAATCGAGAGCCTGGCTTTCTGGCTCAGCTCCCTCTTCCCCACGACAGATCGGCTCAGCGTCCGCATCACTGCAGACGCCGAACCAATCCGCCTGTCGATCTCCCGATCCCTCCTACCCTCACTCATGAACAAGACCCCGAGATACTTAAACTCCTCCACTTGAGGTAGGACCTCTCCCCCCACCCGGAGTTGGCAAGCCACCCTTTTCCGGTCGATATTATATTTATAAATCTTCCCAGATATCCTTAAAAGAAGACGTCACATGATTTGAACAGAAACTATGATCTCTTCAAGCTGCTTGTCTAACTAAATAATTATTGTGTTGTGGGACAAATGCCCAGCTTCTTCATAAACAAAAGATGTCTACCGGTGCCAGTTTGCCTGAATGATACCAAGTGTAGATTGAAAGAGTTGCAGCACAATTCACTTTTTCTTCACTAGAATTCACACAAGTAATGAGAACCAGTGAGGAAACAGTTTGTTTCTTGAGGTCCAGATCCAACATTTGTGTTTGAAAGCAAGGACCATTTTAACAGAATATATTCTGGGCTTACCTTTCATTTTCTGAAGACAGTTTAGCATTTAGTATCCATTTTTTATTTTTTAAATTTCATTAAATTGACACAAAAGGAGGGAAAGCACTGGAACAAGTGCCTCGACGTATAAATGTGCTGAAGTGATCATTTTAGAATTGCATAGCTGTTTGTGTCAGCCATATGTTGGAGGTGGGCGTTGACAACCGCTTCAGCGACGGGTGAGCAGGTTGTACTTAGTGTATTCACAACAGGGTGGTGAAGGTGCACAACTTCTGAATCTATAACACCATTATGCTTGCTGTCCACATACTGCAAAACATTAGCTGAATGGATAATGGTTCTCTAAAAAGTACTAAAGCAGATGGTTCAGCTAAGTGCCACCAACCTATTTTACACTAGACTACAAATAGTTCCCACCTAGCTAAAGCTCTAAATATTTGTGAGGATTCAATTCTCTCAGGTTTGTCCAAGTGGGGTTCATAGTATCGCATTATGGTTTAGAGGAAGCACAATTCCAGCGATATTCCAGCTTTTAGTGCCTCTCTGAGCTTTGCTCTCTAATTTCTGGCCAGCACTGACTGATTAGCTACGTGTTACACATCTTTTTTTTCAAGGCTTCATTGGTGGTTATTAGTCATTATTAGCCACCATAAAAGCTGCCCTCTGATATTTGCACTTGGAGACTTTACTATAGAGTGGGTGTTGCTCTCTGTTAATTGCTATAATAAGGTCGTCGCCCCATCATTTTGTTCTGTCATTCAGACACGGCTCACATAAAACACTGAACACATAGTTCTTGTATTCATGCGTGCACTCAGACTAGCTGTTTATCTTCTCGTACATCATACTCATTAGAGTTATTTGTGTAGAAATGTCCCTCCTCAAGGCAGAGACATATAAATCATGACTAAATGATCAAATGGGAAAATGTGTTGTATTTTTTCTTCTATATCTGCATAGGTTGGCTCGAGATCTGCGTTGAAGTGGCTGCTGTCTCTTCTCTGGAAGGAACCAGAAGGGAGTGTGGTGATCCATTTTGCCCATCCCTTTTCTCTTAAGGTGACAGACTAAAAGATACCATCCATAAAGATTCAAAGAGATTTTTTTCCTCTTAAGATACTAAAAATAAACAGTCTCTACTTATGAAACTTCATTAAAATAGCTCAGTGGCCTAGTGGTAGAGTGTCCGCCCTGAGACTGGGAGATCAGGGTTCGATTCCCGGTCGGGTCATACCAAAGACTTAGAAAAAAATGGGACCCAACTTCTCCCTGCTTGACACTCAGCATTACGGGGTTGGATTGGGGGGTTAAACCACCAAATGTTTCCAGAGCGTGGCTGTGTCTGCAGCTCACCGCTCCCCCAGGGGATGGGTCAAATGCGGAGAACAAATTTCGCACACACATCAGTGTGTGACAACTAATGGGACTTTAACATTAAAGGGGCATTATGGAAGTTTGACAGCCAAAACATGTGTAGAAATAATAAATGTCTTCTTCATACATTCTCCTGCAATGCCCTGGTCCTGTAGAATGAGCCCTGGCATTTTTACTGTGATTGCCTGTTTTTCTGTAAAATCACAGAAAAAGAGAGATGCTCGGGTCGAGCAGGCTGCTTCATGCGCGTTCACGCTCAGGCATCGCCCGTAGCATTTGCTATCCGTAGCTTTAGCAGCAGAGAGAGAGGCAGTGCCACTTTGTCGCTGTTCCTAACGCCTAGTGACAAAGCTAGCTACATTTCTGAGGACCCTTAGCTACTTTCTGTAGAACTTTCTTCTAGATATTTCCTGCTAATTAGCAACAAAATAGCCATTTTCACTCCGAACCGTTCTTTGGTTTGACGTTGTTTCAGCTGTCATCAAGGATATAAATGTTACAGATACTGTGAATGTTACTAGAGTGTAGCTCACCTTGTAAGACGTTGGACTGTCGTGCAGAAGACCTGGGTTTGATTCTGGATGTGAACATAGTTTATTTAGAGTTTCTTTTTTACATTAATGGTATATTTTTTACAGTAAGATGCCCAAATTTTTATTTGAGACTCGCCGAACGGCATTGAATTCACAGATAAAAAAAGATGTGGGTTCAACTTTCATTTTGGAACAATTTTTCAAGCAAGGGAAGGGAATGATCTGAGCATGCAGGAGGACTGACCCATCATAAACCTTTGTCGGCTGTGCTGAAGAGAAAGGTACAGAACCACATTATTTAATTAATTAGCTGCATGTTCTCCTGTCCTCTGTCCTCCAGGACACACACACACACACACACACACACACACACACACACACACACACACACACACACACACACACACACACACGCACGGGACTGTCTCAGCTGTTATTTTCGTTAAGGAGTGTGCACGTACAGCATGCGCGCCTCATGCACGAGCCTACTATTGAAGCTGCCGTTACTCTTTTGGCCTGAGGGGGCAATCGCGAGCATAAAAATTCAAAAGTCCGTAAAGTCCCTTTAACTTTAATATGAAAATGTGAGAAGGGTGAGAGGTCCAGCAGAGCAAGGAGTTTCTTTTTTTTACTCTGATAAAAAAAAAACATTTTAAATGCTGTTAGAGGTGTAGAGGCACCAGAGTCTTATTCATGCCTAGATATTTCTATATTGTCTTGGCTCTAGAACAGGGTGCCATTGATTTACATGCTCTTGGATGACAAACAATAAAGCCCTGTCATAAATCACACTGACCTTTAGAAGTGGTCCAAGTAAATTTGCTTTTGCAAATGAGTGTTGAAAATGGAAGTTTGCTTAAACTTTCCCCTTAATCAAATCCTCTTTTGACCCTTAAAAATATGTTTATGTTCACTCGAGTGGAGGTGCATTTGAAGCGTATAAGAAGGGTTTTCAATATAAATCACTGCAAACGTCTCCCACCAAAGTGATTTTAATTTAAATCGACGTCTTTCCAGCAGCTGAGAGTTTCTAACCTTCCAGAAAGTAGAATTCATTACAGGACAGCTTTAAGTTTCAGAGAGCTGTATTATTTTCTGATTGTTGAGTCGAATAAACTTGAAATCATTTATATCAGCATCAAGGGCAGAATAAAAAAATAATCAGATAACAACTTTCACCACTTTTTTAAACCCGGCCAAATTAAACAAACAAATGATTCAGATCTGTTGCTTTTCAGCTTGTTGAGAATGCATGTGTGCACATAATCCTGGTGTGTGTGTGTGTGTGTGTGTGTGTGTGTGTGTAGGAGATGTGTGAGTCAGAGAGGTGCAAAGTAGAAGAATGGCTCCCTCTACAGGACTTGTTGCTGCCTGTTATCTTCAACAACAGGTAATCAAACAGCCTGCGTGCTTCCCCCCTCGCCCCAGCGCGTGTGGAAACTGGATGTTAACGAACCACAATGGCATTCATGTTTGGGTTTAGTTCTTATCTAACATCTGTGAAATTGAAAAGTTCCTTTCTCTTAAACTTTGCAGAACTTTCCTCTAAACCTTAAATCTGGCACAGATGTGATGCAAGCCCTGATGAGATTTTCATCCTCTTAGACTCGGTCCAATTACCATCAACGTTACAGTCTGCCAGTGGAAAAAAAGATAACGGAAAGTAAAGAACACCCCTGTTAAATCTCTGCTTGGTGCCTCACGAGCAAAGTGGCTTCTCCCATCGTATGCTAATTCTTCTCAGATAGGGGCTTGCCCAAAAGTGTTTTCAGTTAAAATTTGGCGAGTAATAGAGGAAAAGAGGAAAATAATAATGATGAGATTGGATCGTTACCAGCATGTGAGCACTTCTGGCTGCCTGGCCACTTTTGAAATAATAGGCATGCTGTGTTTTTTTTTTATTTCTGACAGAGGATTTTTTTGCTATGTATAAACTGCACAGAGTGCGAGTTATCCAACATTTAAATTCTTCAGCAATAAAATGTGTTTACAAAGGCCCACTAGAGATCACCAGTGTCTCCATAAAGTGTTTTTATTGTTTTATTATGACCCCCAAGGTTTCCACACACAAGTTAAAAATTTATTATCTTAAGGCCCAGTTCACAGAGCCGGACAATCGTGCCGATATTTGACCCGATCCTCCCCTTCTGACAGCCTTAGGGATGCGGAAGATAATCTTGTCAGATAATCCTACCGTGTGTGGTGTGTCATGATTACTCTGGTTGGGACCGCTCTGACCGTAGGTCGGGCTATCGAACATGTTGAATTGTCTTGGTCTGATGTTGCCTGTTAATTGTGATGTTTAGCCAGTCAGAAAGCAAGGAACTGGAACCACACTGGACGCTCCTCCTCCGCCATGTTTTTTTTACTCACATTGGATCTCGGGAGATTTCTCATCTGCTTTTGAAATGTCTGTGAAATCGGTTTGTGTGTAGTTTTTGTCGCACTGCAGCACACCGCTTACTTTTTACTGCTGCATGTGGGGTGTCATGTTTTTAAAATCTTCCAATAATTCAAACATCTAAAGCACAAGGTTAAGTCTTCCATTAAACAGTTTTCTTGTTCACCAGGAATATTTGATTTTCAGCATGTTTCTTTATTTTTTATTGCGATTCACAGTTGCTTGTTCTGAAGGCGGAAGGTGTACAGCGGTTCACAGGCTGTTAAAAGCCTTCAAATTTCTATTCTAGTTGAGGAAATCTGTGGTTACCGTAGTAACCGCATGTGCAGCCCACTTCTCCAGCAGCTGCTTTTGGGATAAATAGAATCACATAGTTCCAGGTCTGAGATGAAAAGCCTGTCTTCTGTACCAGAGAACAATATAGTTTGGTCCATGAATTTACTACCGGCTCAAAAACCTGGCTGGAAACAACCTGATTCAGAGAGCTGGTGTGACGCGTACGGGATTACGGTCTTGGTTTCTACTCAGAGAGGAGTTATCCACCATTCCCTCATCTTCATCTCCACCCTCTTTTAAGTCACGCTGCCTTCATTTCACCTCAAAACTGAAAGTCCCCTTTATTCAAATTTGAAGCAATTTCTCATCATTTTTATAGCTTGATGTAAAATATGGTGGTAAGTGGAAAAAACTGGCTACTTGTGATTTATCAAAAGCAGATTTTTGTTTTACAACACCATTCAGGTCTTGAAACTGATGCAATGATTATCTTGTTTTGCATCTTTAATAGATCAGCTCATCTAACCTGTAGTGATGTTTCCTCACGCTATCACTTTAAAAACTGTTTCATTTTCTGAACATTGTCAAAGTGAAACGGCTCTGATAGGGTGGATAATAATGGGATGCAATTGCCGCAGGTTGAATAATTTTTAACTGGAGTTTGAAGGGAACTTCAGTAAAGCCTAAAATTGGCTGACTCCACCACAAATAATGAAACTGTATGGAAGCACTTCAACACTGCAAACATCCCTGAGGGGCAGGAATCGTTTGCTATAATCATTTAAAGTTTTTCTTAAGTCAGAAGTTGGTTGAACCTTTAATACTATTAAATAGTTGAAAGATGTTTTGCCTTTTTCCTGTGAGAGCTCACTGTGTGTTTGGGAAGAGAGAGATGTTGTGGCTCCTACCATCATCTGGACATGAGAAGAATCCTGCCGAGAGAGACCTCAGCATCGCCATCATCCTCCATCTAATCTTCTGTAAGCCCAGGCCCACCTGCCGCATTCTCCATACATCTTAACCCTTTAAGCGCCAAAGTTGCAGAATTGCGACAAGCAGCAGTGTTGAATTTAATAAGCCACAGCAGCAGAAATGAGCCCTCATGCAGTTAATATGTTACACAGCGGGCTGGCAGACACCTGTAACTTGAATCCAAGCAGCATTTGTGGGTGTGTTACTATTCAGACTTTTCGAGTATTTAGAACTTGATCCCCGCCCACCAGTCGGAGTCGCGGCGGTTGTCAGAGCAGTCAGATCAGTGAGAGCGAACGAGTGGTAAAGGAAAACAACACAATGCCGAGAGGAATGTTCAGTGCTGACGATGCTCTTCATCTAGTACTGGCAGATTCTGATTCGGAGGAAGAATATTTCCTGTCCGAGGATGATCTGCCGTCTTCTAGCGAGATGGAAAGCGTGGCTTCAGCACGCAGCAACAGAGAGTCCGTCAGGCTGGCGAACTCTGTTGCTGCGCGCTGACGGCGTCAGGGACGACACGGTTACACAAGCAGCCCATCCAGCTCTTATCTTGTCCGATGTTCCGCGTCGGGCAACGAGACGTGGCGGGAGGCTCGTACCGGGTCTGATCCTTTGAACCACCATGCCAGGGGAGAGGGGGGAGGGGGATGTGGTGGCGGTGATCGGGCCGGTGGAAACTCCGCTGGTGATCAATTCAGCCCCTGTCTGTCTCTATCATCTATCTACAGTATCTATCTATCTGTCTGTCTGTCTGTCTGTCTGTCTGTCTCTGTCTGTCTGTCTCTGTCTGTCTGTCTGTCTGTCATCACATTTATAAACAAAATAAACCAAAGAAGGGATGAGTGAAATGTGTTCATGACACTGAAGCACCAAAAACAGTGTTCTTGATTGATACGCATTAAACATAACAAAATACCAATAAAGTAATAAATATTATATATATATACATACATAGTTATATATGTCTACATAGGAATATGTATATATGTATCATAAACAATAACACTAAGAAAATAAGACAAAAACGTAAAAAAAAACCTACAAAAATCTGCAAATGTGATGTAATCCAATATGGCTGCTACCTGATGACGTCATACTATGCAAATTATGTGAGTGAATTTGTTCCTATCACAAAATTTGGCTCATACTGAAGATTTTTCTAATTTACAATATTCTATCTCTAACCAGCTTTAAGCTACAAGCTCTTTAAATAGTGATATAAAAAATTTATATTTTACTGAAAAAACTACGGCGCCTGAAAGGGTTAAGTTGTAGATTTAATGTTAGCCTGTCGTATTTTACTGATAAATGTTTCTGTTTAGTAACAACGTCCTGCTTGGCTGGGATGTCCACCAGTCTTGTTTCCAGTCTTTTGCTGAACAAACATCGTAAGGTACGTGCATCATCCATCTTTTTGTGTGTTTGCTAGAAAAAATAACTCTTCCCTGTTAAAATGTGCCTCCACCCCTCTAAATATCCATCAATACTCCAAAAGGCCCACACACAAAATTGGTTTTGGAGTTTGTGTAGTCGTGCGTGACAGTGATTTTCTGAGTCATACCCACCAGTCTCCAGGTGGTAAATGCTCACATCTGATTTTGGAATGAAACATCTTCTTTCCCGTGGTCTTCAGGGTGTGAGTGCATCTGTCCTGTGTCGTGATGTTGTTTGGCTCACGGAGGAGCTCCTCTTCAGAAAAAGAGATGTTGGATTTGGGGGACGTGTACCAGAGGTGGTCCACTATGCCCTGTGTCAGCTTACTCCTCATCTCATCTTTGCTACGTTGCCATCCAGGTTATTAGTATACGAGTTTATTTAGAAAGATGAGGTATAAGCTGTAGGAAACACTCTAAAGTATATTTGTATCTTCTTTAGAGAAGAGCCTTTTATCGTGGCTCGTCCTTCGTTGGCCTCCACTCTTCACCTCTCCCTCCAGGCCCGGTCGGTCTTACACGCATTTCTAGTTGAAGCTGTTGGAGGTGAGTGATTCGAGGTTCATTTAGAGTGTTCATCTCCAGCAAAACTTAGAACAAATGATCATGAGATGCTGTATTCTCAAGGCACATTAATTTATGTGGGAGGCCTTGGCAGTTGATCAGACTCTTGGCATATTGATGTGGAAGTAACCAATGTAAGAGAGAGCCTTTTAAGTTATAAAGGAAACTTATTGGAGTTTAGGTTTTTTTTTTTTTGCAGCGCTAGAGCATGCCACATGACAAGCTGATGGTATTTATTTCTATCACTAAAGAGTAAAAACTAACTATATGTTATAGAAATTGTATGTTTTATTATTATGATTAGGGATGGGTACCTTTGACATTTGAATCGATTCGGTACTAATTCCCATTACCTAGGAATCGATACCGGTACTTAACGGTACCAATTTTAGATACTTTTGAGTGTTTAATATTTTAATTCTCTTTTATAATTAAATATATATTTTTCTCAATATATAACCATATTTGATAAATATCACGATAAATAACATACAACTGTTTGTATTTTAACATCGTCCTTGTAGTTTTATAAGCTGATAATTAAACTGAAGCAAACATCTTTACTGTGAACTAAATTTACTGTGTATCTTCATTCCTTTTGCCGTCCTTTTTCATTTGAATTTTCCTACTGGGAAGTTAGAATTTCCGAGGAGAAAGCGAACGCACCATTAGCTGATAACAATGGTGGCAATGGAAGCTAACATATCAAGCTAACGTTATCTTAAACAGTTTATTTAGCTGCTGGAGCAGATTAAAACGATGATGCCTCACACTTAGATCGTTGTCACTGGTTTCATCTTCACCCAATCACCCGTCGCATTTAGTAAAGTGAAGCCAAACTTTAGAGCGCGTTCTTTCTACCATGCTGCTCTGTTTACAACTCGCTTGCAGCGACCGACGACATAACGCTCTTGCGCATGCGCAGCTGTCTAGGCAAGTTCTCGTTATGAAGGACGGGTATCGAAACGAGGCACCGTTTCAAATGACGTGAATCGGTGCTCAGTCGGTACTATGGAATTCGGTCGGTATCTTAAAAAGTACCAAATTCGGTACCCATCGCTAATTATGATTATGTTTTTCATTACCCTGATGTATTACTTTTGCTCAACTTGTAACTTCCTTACAACTCAGACACTGTGATCTCTTCCTTACTCACTACTATACACACACACACACACACACACATACTCACACTTAGACTGTCTTATCTCTCTGTTCTTGTATAAATAAAGCTCTCAGGGCAGCATCTCCTGGCAGTTTCGTGAGTCTCACTTTGTGAGCAGATCTGCGCCGATTGCAATACGGTAAACGTGTGGTTAATTGTCTCTCTTTTCTCTTCGACTGCAGGTATTAGGTGATTGATAAAATCCCTAACACTATAAGAAATGCATGGATGCTATTTAGTTGTTGTGATTTAGGAGGATCATTTAATCAGTGCCCCTCCAAGAACACACACCTTCAGTTCCTTAAATACTAGACGTGTAAAATGGCAGAAAATAAACTTGATTGATTATTATCAATTATTATTTATAAGTAAATGGTCTGCATTTGGATAGCACCTTCTTATGGTTCTACAACCCTCCAAGGCGCTTCACAACACAGTCATTCACCCATTCACACGCTGGTGATGAGCTACAATGTAGCCACAGCTGCCCTGGGGCGCAGGCGAGGTGCCACCGCTCCCTCCGACCACCACCAGCAGGCAAGGCGGGTTATGTGTCTTACCCAAGGACACAGCAGCAGCCTTAAGAGCTAAAACAGCATGGTTATCTACAAAAAAATAGACAAATTATAATGGAGTCATTAAAATGCCAATTAATTACATCTCATAGTTTGGAACGGCTTAGAGTTGTGCCAGAGACCTTTTTATATTTTATATCTGCTGTAAAATGTTTTCTAGAATCCTAGGCACTTCATCGTAGTTTCAACTTTGTTTTCAGTTTTTTTTACAACTTGAAGGGATCTGCAGATGAAGCAGGTCATACATGGAAATCAGGCAGCTGAATCGTACAAGAGTCCGATTGCAGCCTTTCTTTGCTAAGTAGATCATTTGCACCTTAATACTTGAAATTTTGTTGAAAAGTCAAAAGAAAAATCATGAATTTCTAGAGTTTCTTTTTGTTTCTTTTCTACAAAGTCCAGTAGAAGATGCTGCATAAAATATCAAGGGATAAATTCTAGTTGCATCTTTAAACAGGGCAGACCTTGTTCCTCCTAATGTGAAAAAAAATCTATTATCCAGTCAACAACAGAAACTAGGAGACATCAGTTGTCATAAATCTTGTGCATGTATTAGCTGAGCACAACAACCAGGGCGAGTTATACCGAAACGTTCATTTGTCATCACTGACGGGCAGACTTGTGTTTACATGTGAAAGCATGCCGTTTTATTCCCCAGGAAGCAAGTATCACCAGCTGGTGTTCTAAAAAATACATGGAGGAAATTAATTTGGTCGGTGTGCTTCCTTCTACTGGTTGGGTTTGGTGCAGTGAAACAAGCTGCAGTAATTTATGATAATCATTAAATGGCAAAAAGCCTAGAATCCCACATTTTCACTGGTTTTGTTTCTTCAGCCCAGCGCTATCTGTTGGTTAGATTTAATTTTCATCTTTGTAGGCAGGCTGGGGGGAAGCCTAAGCTACTTTAGCTCTGTTTCACTGTGGTTGGTGGAGGTAAGTCGTGTTTGGAGTGCAGGAGGCGAGCTCTTCTGTGTTTCTCAGTCAAGCTGTGACGTCGTGTGTAGACGTAAACCTGGTTCAGCTTTTGTATGTTTGTTTCTATAGAAGTGCTTGGAGGAACCATCACTCAGTCTGAGCTTTTATTTACAGCGTGCGCAACGTCGGCCATGCTCAGGGAGGTGGTCAACGCCGGCCTTGGCAGCAGAGTCAGGACCGACAGCGTGAAGGAAGAAAAGGTCGAAGGTGACATGGAGTTTGATGTGGTGTTTGGTCAGTCTGAGCTGATGGAGAAAGCCCTGCAGCTTTGCCATCTCTTGCCTCCGGGCGTTATGCCAGTGAGTTTGTATTCATATCACACACACACACACACACACATGCACACACACGCACACATGCACACACACACACAGTGTGTGTCTCATTCAATGGATGTTTAATGGAGCTGAACAATCATTCATCCTGCTCTGCTGGCTCTATCTCAGCCAGAGAGGTTTGGGGTTGTGTGTGTGTGTGTGTGTGTGTGTGCGTGCGTGTGCGTGTGCGTGTGTGTGTGTGTGACTTCAAGGGCTCCAAATCTGTGCAACTAATACTTTTCCTTTCTGTTTGCCCACCTTTCATTTCAGCAGCTACTCTTTCTTATCCCCTTTGTTTGTAGCTTTGTGTCATTGCCCCCTCTTCATCCTTCCCTTCTCTAGCTCTTATTCACCCTCTATGATCTTTATTACAACTTCACTCCAAACCTTATGCTTTTTGTCAGCTGTCTCCCTCTGTGTTTCTTAGATCGATGATGGACTGAAGCGGTTTTTGCCTCTCACTACGTTTCACCCTGTTTCTCTCTCCAGCCATGTCAGTCCTCCCAGAGTTTTGCTCTGGATGCCGTTGACAGTCTGGTTCGTTGTGGCATCCTGATCATGGAGGAAGTAAGAAACAGCAAAGATTTCTGAAAGTTACACATTTGCAGCCAAAATGGTTTTTATTATATTTTGCCTAAAGTTAATTTTTTAATTTAAAACAGTGTTCCAATATGCTTTTTTTTCTACAAGTAAATATTGAACGTTGCCTCTAAGTCTACATTTACTGCCTTGTTTGTAATTGTTATTTATTTACTTAGTTTTCTTTGTTTTAATTAAATTGAGGCAAATTATGTCTAACAAGATTTATAATTATGTAAAAATAAACAGTTTCATAAAACTCAGCTGGAGGTCTTTTAATTGTACAATATGTTTTTTTCCCCTAATTGTTTAATTTAATTTAATAGCCATTTGTCTATAGTGTTAGTAAAGTGGATCATGTGCAAAGCACACAGAGTCAAAGGTCTGGGCCGCTGAAGACATTTTTAGTTGTGGTTTTAATGGGGGGAGTTGTTGGGGGGGGGGGGGGGGGCAACAAAAGCTTTAATATGCAGTAGGTGCGGAAAAATAGTGAGAGGATCATATTTGAATGATTTCTTATTTAAGCCTTAGATTTCAAATAACTTCATAAAATCCTCCACCCTTTAATTTACAGCGTCCAGGGTATCTGCGGGTCCTTAAAAAGTCTTAAATTAGCTTTTCCAAATTTAAGGCCCTAAAAATCCTTAAAAATTACAAATAATCCTTAAATACAGTTTCCAAAGGTCTTAAATGACCAAAGACCCAATAAACAAGGTTCTTTTTTCTATAAAATTTTCATGAATTTCTAGTTGGTGTTCAGCATTTTTTTTTTTTTTTTTTTTTTTTTTTTTTGTGTACGTTGTTGGTGTAAACGGAACCGTACACATTCAGTTGGTTGTGAAAGGGGGCTATTTTTAGATGAGCACATTAGCTGATTAAGCTAGCGGGAGCTTGCGCCATGGGGAAGTGCAAGTTTAATGGTAACTGGATGGCTAATCCCACGTTCACCACATGGTTAGCACCGGTTCCAGGCAATAGCTGGAAATTATAGCTTAGATTTAATTTTAAAAATAGCTTAAATTTGGTCAAAGTGGCCTTAAAAAGGGTCTTAAAAAGTCTTAAATTTGGCTCCCTTACACCTGCAGATACCCTGAGCGTCTTTCCTGTGCTTTTGCTTAATAGATTCCCAAAGATATTCCCATCTGTGATTTTATGAAGCGGGATGGCGCTCTGACCTGGGCCACCTCTGACGACCCTTATCCCAGCGACTCTGACTGCGAGGAGCAAGACCCGTGCTCGTACAAGGTACTCCGCAGCTCTCTTAAGCCCTCCTTTGGCTTTCTGGCACGCTGCACAGGGCTATAAAACGGGGCAAATGTTTCATGCACATCGCGCTCCAGGGGTGACTGGAGCACCTACGGGGCATGACGCCCCCTGATTAAAAAATAAATAAATAAAAAGAAAACACTACATGAAAAAGAACTTAGAAGTAAGTAAATCTCCATTACAAAAGCTTCAACATGCATGAATCTCGTATCTTGCATGTTAATTAGCAGGATGTGTCATCTTTAAAAGAAGTCTACCCAATGCTACCATTACATGGGATTTTCAAAGCTGCAAGGCTGCTGACCTACTTCCAAAGGGACCTGCTCCCAGATGCTGGAGCAGGAGTTACGAACATGGCAAAGTGACTTTGGGATGACTGTCGAAGAATCATGAAACACTTGAATAAAACTCCCAGTTGTACGGAACAGACGTGTTACCGTCGCCAGTCCGCTGGGTGCTTCTGACTTCATTTTAGCGTATTCGATTTTTATTTTATCTTCTTTCATTCATTTGTTTCTGAAAGGAGCATTTTTTGCCATATTGCTTGAAATGTTCCTCACATACTAATGGCAACCAGTAAATGTTTTGTCAAAAAAATATTAATACTTTGAATCACTTTTGAAACTTAAAATCCTGAAAAAACCTCGTCCAGTCTTTGTGAACCTCCTGTTTTTAAGGGTTGGGTCGTGATCTAAGCACTCCCCTGACCATCCCGCCTCCCTCTGCAAATATCTCTTAAGCCTGCTGCACACGAGAGCATTCTGCTGAGCAAACGGCCTCGAATGATCGTGTGCTCTGCAGATTGCTCGCTGTGTGCACCTTATTTTCACTGAGTTTTCCGCCTCACGAGACGCTGAGCCGAATATCTGACCAGTCAGATATTTTCCGCCTCACGGGGGGTAGAAACTCGCCGTGTGCGCCCTACGTGAGCTGCCGGCTGAGCTGAAATATCCTAGTGGCCAATCAAACCACGTTCTCCACTCACATGACACCAAGATGTATTCTGATGCGGCCCCCCTGCCTTGTCTGCGTGTCTGAACAATAAAACGGTACCTTGCGAATCGATAGGTCCACTGTTTCCATTACCCTCTCGAAGGATCCGGGCGGCAGTATTGTCGGAAGGATTCTGGGTTTTCCAGGTGCATCTCTTGGAGTAAATTGGCATAAACCCCTTGCCTGGCCCTTCTTTCCAGCCACCATACACATACTTTCCTATCCTTGAAATGCCGGTGGCGGCGGTGCTTCATTAACAAAAAAAGTAGAGGCATTTCCTCCCGTTTCCAGCTCTGTCTCCGTTTTGTTTATTTTCTGACATGCAGACAGAGGGCTGCCATCTTGGAATCGTGATCAGAGAACGCGCTTTGATTGGCCACTAGAATAGTTCAGCTCAGCCGGCAGCTCACACATGGCGAGGACATTATGTGCATTAATAAAATCATTAAGCTGTATTAAAACAAGCTTTTCTAAAGTTTTACTTCAGAATGGTAAGTTAGATATCGGTCTGAAGTTTTTAAAATCACTAAAATCTAAGTTTCTCTTCCTCAACAGGGGGCCTCACCACTGCCCCTTTAAAGGCAGGAGGAAAGACCCCTGTTTGAAGATAACAGTTCATCATGGTTCAAATCTCATCTCTACAATATTCATCAAATGGCAGCGAAGTAGGAACTGGATCTAAAAGACATGTGGGGGGCCTCACCTTATTTTGCACCTTGGTATGTCCACACGATTCTTGCGACCCTGTTGACTATTTTCAATCAATCAATCAATTTTATTTGTAGAGCACCTTCCACAACGTTATCAGAAGCCCAAGGTGCTGAACGCTTGATTGTTCGATGATCACGCTTCAGAAGCTTTGCAATTTTAAGACTGCTGCATCCCTCTGCAAGATATCTCACTATTTTTGATCTTTCTGCGCCTGTCAAGTCCTTCTTTTGACCCATTTTGCCAAAGGAAAGGAAGTTGCCTAATAATTATGCACACCTGATATAGGGTGTTGATGTCATTAGACCACGCCCCTTCTCATTACAGAGATGCACATCACCTAATATGCTTAATTGGTAGTAGGCTTTCGAGCCGATACAGCTTGGAGTAAGACAACATGCATGAAGAGGATGATGTGGACAAAATACTCATTTGCCTAATAATTAATTCTGCACTCCCTGTAATTTGTTGATGTCATCTAATTGACGTATCATGATATATATTTTGTAACTGGGCAAGAAATAATTACTGGTATTATTGTGAAAGGTATGATATGGTCCACCCCCCAGTTTGGGTTCTGGAAGTTTTGACTTGTCATTTTTGGGATTTTCCCAGAACGTTGATGGTGCTAAGCTGCTGTGATTTTGAAGCTAAGAATAAACCAAGAAAGCTAAAAACCGCCTCGTTTTTCATCATAAAACACCACACCTTGCTTGCTAGCATACTAAATAGTTATACGCTTACGTAGGTGAGTTGCATCAGACGTTATGACAGAAAAGGTGCGAACAACCGGTATCTGTTGCATCTGGTGCTACACTATTCTCTTCTGTCATCAGATTCTGTAACTCTAGCCTGAAGAAAGGGGGTTGGACCTTTGAATTATTATTTTTCAAAATGTAGCTGGCTTGCTTTATACCAGTGCCTTCACAGAATCAGATGAAATCAATTAGGACCCTGATTCTGGTCAGCCTGTCTGAGTAATATCAAACTAAAGACTCTAAGTAGCTACCATGGGCCTATTCTTCCTTAATTATTTTCATTAGCACTGGAAACACCGGACCTTTTGTTTGAATAAAAAGGAGATTATTCTGGCTCATGTTTCACTTTGATCTCATCTTTTAAAGTAGAGTTCATGTAGTTGTATTAATCTGAATTAGATACGAGGTCAGGTATTCTTGAGAGTGAACAATTTCTTCATTTTTCTGAATAACTATTAAACTGAATGTTTTCATAACATTCTACGGATGTTATTGTATAATAAAGCCTTCATGATCAAATGTTGTTGCCGCTTTTTAAATATAGCCCAGTATCCTCTAGCCATCTATTCTCAGAAATTTACAAACCATCACATTCTTGTCTCCTGCTTGTTTAAAGCATCGCATGAATCAATCAACACTCCCAAACAAATCGTATATTTCTAGAATAGATGCTTAAAACGGTGAGAGGAGGATTGAGTTTGGCACATAAATCAAAAAGAGGGGTCATCTTTTCACAGCATATTGTAGGCTCTCAAAAATCCTAATAATAGAACATTTTTGCTGCAGGTGTTTTCATCTTATTTCGTTGTTTTGGGATATGGACTGCTAAATGGACTACAGTTATATCAAGCTTTACAATTTAGCCTCCTACACATGTAGTCATGCACATACAATAATGTTCCTGTCACCCTGAGAACATTACATTTATCATTTTTAAAACTTTGTTCTAACTTCGTTCTTTGTTTAACTTAATATCAAGTTTAGTCAAGTAAAGTCTTTGCTGTAAACGTAAGCAACCCTTCTTTTTTTCTACGAGGAAGGCCGATTTCACTGCATTATTGTGTAAACAGATTCAGTGTGGTGCTGCAGATGGACACATAGGCACAACCTTAGTAGATAATTCAGGAATTGTTTGGTGAGTGGAGAAAAGTCTGAGGCTGACTCAAATGACCTGACCTGCTGGATGATCTGCTCCCTTAACCGTATCAGACCCGTCTTTTTATTTTTTCCTCAGGATTGGAATAGATGTTTTCTCAAACAAGGTCTTTGCACTTGAAATTTGTAAATAAATTCAGTTATATACAACTCCAGTTCCCTCATGGCAGCATCTTGGTCCATGTTGGTCGGGTCCTTCCTCAAACGCTAAGACCAGAAGTGAGTGGCTGTGATTTTGGATGGTCTAGTTTTCATTATCATTCCTGCCTCTACCTCACCATCAAACTAAACTTGCTGACACATAACGATATACAAGACCTGCCATACCAGCGTGTTTATGAATATTTTCAGATATTATTTTTGAAACAAAAATATTTGAAACGATAAACGACTCCCTCTCAATAGAAGCTAATGACTCATCAGAGGATGGAGAGGCGGGGTACCCACAGTAGTTTGGGCTCATTAAATAACAATAGACAGCTACAGCTTATAAGTTTGACTCTCCTGCTTAAGCCGGGCGTACACTGTGCGACTTTTTCACTCGCAGCGTTCAGCTTCAGCTCAAAATGTACGACTTCCTCGCAGAGCAGATCTCACGAGTCATGTGCTCACACTGTACGACCCAGTTCTCGCATGCGACGTGACTGCTCACACTGCACGTCTGGTAGCAACACGTCGGCCCTAAAAATGTGCTAAAAATAGCAGTTTTTACTCAACACGTCAGACTTTTTTGTCTTGCCTGTTGTCCTTCGGGAGTGCTGCAGGAGGACACACAGGGATTTATGGGGGTTGGATGAGGAAAACGAAATAAAGAAAGTAAATCTGTGTTTTGTGATCAGTTTAATTTGACATGAACACGACAAACACGCTTTCTTGACAATCTTTGTGGGTAAAAAAACGTGTAGAAACGAAAACGAACAGCGTGTGTTATTAGGGAAATAGCGAGCGACCGGCCGGCGTTGATGCAGGATTGCGCGCGCATGCGCCGTGAGCGGTTCTGATACTTTTTGGATCGTAGCTGCTCGCAGCGCCGCTTCAACAGTGCGATACCCTCACGAGGGACGAGCGAAATATTAAACACACCAGAAGTCCCTGCGACCTCACGACTGCTGATCGGCGGCTGGTCACGTGGCGTTAATCACCTCTCGTAACCCCCTGTACACTACACGACCGCTCGGCGCAAAACTCGCCCCGATGTCGTGGCTTCTCGCACGACTGGAAAATCGGCTCAAAAAAGTGAAAAAGTCGCACAGTGTACGCCCGGCTTTAGACTCTATTAAAACCTGGATGGTGGGAGCTTTCTTCAGCTGAATGAAGGTAAGACTGAGATCCTCATCTGTGCCCCAGACAAGATGCTTCCCAAAG